CCCTCCCCGGCCCGGCCGGGTGCTCCGGGGCCGGCTCCGCCGCCTCTGCCCTGCCCTGCCCTGCCCGGCGGGCACGGCCGGGCTGCCGCCGGTGCTGCCCCCTCCTCCCGGGAAGGGTCTGTTTTTCTCCGGTGGAACGGCCGGGGCTCGGTGGATGTAGCTGCATGAAGTTGTCGCTCTGCCCTCCCATTTTGTGTGACAGCAGGAGTGGGGGGAATGTCCCTCGGCTACCTCAGCCCGCACCTGCACTTCATTCCAGGATGTGGAAAAACGCAACTAATTTTTTTTGTTGCTGTTGTTTATTCCGGTTTTGGGATTATTGAAAGTGAGTTGTGGCGTCTCTCGGAGAAACTTGTGCAAGTAAGAGCAATGAGCTTTACTTCTGGCCTGTATCCATTTTCTTTGCTGTGTCTGGAGTAGGACATACGGCTGATGGAAAGGTTCAGTGTGTTGTTTTGTTCTGTGGGTGGGTTTGGGGGATTTCTTGCTTGTTTTTGGAACTGTTGGGGTTTTTTTAGGTTATTCATGAACATGTCATGTTTGTCTGTAGGTGTAACTGCCTGCTTAAAGCAGGCAGACTGGTATATTTCTGTTTATAAGCTGGTTATCTCTCATCTTTACTCTTTTTATGATGCCTCTCACCAAGGTCTCTCAGTATGGGAACGTTTTACCTAATTTGAGTAACAGAGACTCAGTTTCTTTTTTCACTGAAGTTTGAGAAAATGAGAGCATCTTTAAAAGCACTGGAAATACAGGATAGAAAGGTTTAAAAGAGTGAAAAATTAGTGTTCTCCATGGTAAAAAAAAAAAACAAAAAACCCTGAGACTAGCACTTTGTGCCTGATGTGTGTGTGTATTCTGAGGACAAAAATGTCATTATGCAGATACATCTTTGATGCAGTGTTTACTGGTGTTAGGGGTGCAAAAAAACACCTGGAGTAGAAATGAGAAGCAAAGTCTTCAAGGCGTGGTGATGCCTTGGACTGGCTACCGAGAACAGAGGCTGGGCAGAGCTGGAGAATAAAGTGGGTGTTTATTGCAAGCTTTTAACAGATACACCTTGGGCAGTGCAAGAGCCTCGCAGAGGGTACAAGCCAGATGGACAAATTAGCTTTGGTCTATTTGCATATCGCGGGTTAATTGTCCAGTTACAGCTTCAGGTCATGAAGTGACATTCCCCCAGTTTACTTCCCCCCCAATTTACTTTTGTTTATACTTTTTTGGGGCTGAGGTTGTGATGATGAACTTGGTTTTCAGGAAGGATTGGTTTGTCTGACCCAGCTGTGATGAGAGCTTACTAACACTCTATATGAAAGTTCAGAGTTAAACTCTAATCCAGTACAGGATCTGAAAAATATAAATCTGAAATGTAAGGCATCATTTGGATATTCCATTTTGACAAATTCAACATGTAATGGTGTTTGTCAGCTGTGCCTTGCACATTCCCAGTGTTGGGATTGGCATTATTGGTTTCTTTAAGGAGGTACTTCAGTGTATTTGTCACGTTTAGGATAAATATGAACTTAAGTCTCTCTTGTGTTAGTGAGACAGGGAAAATGTCTATCTCTTGCTTCAGACAATTTGCCTCCATTCACGTGGGAGACCAATGTTCATTTTCAGAGTGGTGCCAGAAAAGTTTTCAGAATTCTAGAGAATCAGTTGTTTTTGAGTGGTAATTCAAACATGTTTCATTAGCTCAGCTTGAACTCGGTGAAAATGTTGACTTTTTTGTAGAGGAAAAAACAAGCGACTTAAATGACGAACAGCAGTAGTTACCACTCCTAGTGCAAACATTCTTAATTTAAATAGCTTGATCTTTTTTCTGAAGTGCAGAGAAAAGCTGGTACTTGTAGTCTTTGACATGTTACTTGTTCTGAGATCAGCACTGTTTAGGAGCAATAACTGCATGTGCACAACTCTGCATATGACAGGAAGGGGAGTGGCCTTTTCTGGTACTGTACTGTCCTGCAGTGAAGCAATAGAAAGTCTGTAAAGGTTAAAAGTATTTATTGGCTTGCTAAGTTTTTACATTAAGAAAAGTCTTTTTACTTCTTAAAAAGTCATAATTTTAGAATTTCAAACTGATGTCTGCATACATCTTGCTAGAAGTCTCACAGATAACTGCAGCTAAAGCTGTGAGTGAGGTCTCTGGATGTCGTGGATTGAGGAGGGAGGTTGCTGCAGTAATTCTTTGTATTAACAACTCCCGGGAGTCTTGGTGCTGGGTGAGTTTCATAGTGACTGCTGGAAGAAGAGTGTTACAGGCTTTATCATTAACTTGGCCTGTCCAGTCCTGTGGAACAAACTGTGCTATTAAGTTAGGTGGTCCTGCAGTTTTGAAGATTTTTAAGTTCTTCCAGATAAGTGTACCTCTTAACGTGCAGTGTGTCCACCCTGTTCCTGTACATTACTAAACTTAGTCTGTGGTGTATTTAAGAAAGTGAACTCTGCTTTGTTTTCAGAATGTTTGGGCACTTGATGCTCAGTGAGGTTTCCCAAGTAAGCCAATAACATGTGGAAATCTATAGCCCCCAGAAAAGGTTTGTTCTTAAAAACCAAAAATGCTACTGGATTGTAAGTCTCCTTCCATAGTCTTAATAAATTCCAGCAGTCTGATTTTCTTAGTAAGTAGCACTCTCCTGAGATGTTGATACTGATCAACCTACCTGTGATGATTTGATGTAGTTTTACAGTGATGAGCTTCCCTGTGGCTGTCTATTCTCAACTTAATTCTTCAGAAGCAGCTTCTGAAGGGGTATTGAGCCATTGGCAGCTGGAACATGTGTGCCTTATATGTACTCTCTGCATTAATTATAAAGAAACCCAGTTGTCAGTGTTCTAAGATTCTGAAAATTAAAGCATTTAAATAGCAGCAGTGTGCTCTGTCACTTATGTCAAGAGGTGGTTCTGTCCTCCACTGCAGTTGAGGGTTGACATGAGATCCTCTGAGACATTTCACAGTAATCCTGTGTTCACAAACATTACAGTAATCCTGTAAATAATCTGGTTTTTTGTGTCTGGATAAAGAAGCTTGTGAGTATTTAAAGTGGATAGGATGGTCTTTACACGTCTTCTATTGTGTGTTACTTCAGTTTTCACCATTACTTTAAGTTGGTTGGTTGGCTTCATTTTTTCTTCTGTTACAGCTCTTCTTTGGCATTTAAGCCACTCATAGCCAAAGGGAATCTGTGCAAGTTTTTGTTAGGAGTCATCACAGGTGTTCCCCACAATATTTTTAACCTTTCTAAATATACTTGGTTAACAACCCATTGCACTGGGTTGTGTTCAGTATTAAGTCTGAAAAGCACCAGGTCTTGTGAAACCTTCTGGGAATTTTACATTCAACCCCTTGCTGCCTGATGAATACAATAGCCTTATTTTTTGCTGTCTTGCAGCAGTGCAGATATGTCAATGTTATTGTTCTGAAAGATTCTATTTAAAAACAGTTCTGACAACTTGTAATTTAAAATAAGCTTATATAAAGTTAATTTCCTTATATTTCTTAAGTGCACCAACTAACATTTCCTGCCTTTTTAATGTCCAGGTATTTTTTCCAATTCGATATCTGAAAAGAATCGAGGAAAACTTGTCTTGGCTTTCTTGATGAAATAAAACTTACAAATTATCTAATGGCTTAACTTAGTATACCTCATGTGTTGCTCACTCTTGTTCATCGTCTTGCTGTGTGCAGAAAACTGGTTTACCTAAGTAATTTTAAATTTCATTTGTAGCTGGTCAGTGAAGATGGTAACTTGTCTTGAAGCAATTGTTTTGAAAGAGCAGATGTGTAAGGTTTAGGGATGGTTCTCTCCCTTGCCTCCATCCCTCATCCCTTGTGCTGTGTCTCCTCCTTCCCCTCTCTCTTCCCCTGGTCTCCTAAAACCTCCAGATCCATGAATAATAGTACTATTGAACTAGGAGCTTGTACAGAACCTAGAAAATGTGCTCACAGAACAGACTCGCTGTTTTTCTGGTTTTTATTTGGTTGGGTTTTTGTATGATTGAAGCATTAGTCATGGTCTGGTTTTAAAAGTTCTTGTCTCCTATCCCAGAAACTCAGTAAAGTGGGTAAAATAGAATCTTCCCAAGAATGTTGATAAGGCTCACAGAGAAGCTTTCTTTCTTAACAAGTGAAATGAAATGAAGAACTTAAGAACAGTGGGATGAGGTGTTAAAAGAGAATTCTTGTTACCTGGACACAAAATGTTACAGAAATGATTGCATAGGCAAGTCCTGCTTTGAGGAAGCAAGAGACTGAAATCAGTCTGCCTTCTCTGGTAGCCTGAGTCCTCAACACCCCAGGTGACAGCATAAGACTATTTCTTATCTACCAGAAAAGCTGAACATGCCAGTTTAGATTTCTAAAAAGAAAAAATTGGGAGAGGGTGTTACACATAATAGTTCCAAAAATTAGATCTGTTGTGCCTGTGGACTCACTAGGCTTTAAGTCTGGCATATGTGGTTTAAGGGGGGGGCGGGGGGGGACGACCAGAAAATGTGAGAAAATTGATGAGTGGTGTATTGTGTTACTTAAAACTACACATAAATAAATCTTTGGGCTTCGTAATGAGCACCAAATTGAGTGTAAGCATTTTTCTCAAGCATGTTTTGTTTTAATAATGTCACAGTTCAGTGTTAACGGGTCTCTTAAGAAAGTGATTTAAGAAATTGAGTAAGTTGAAGTGGAAAAAGATCAGTCAGGTTTCCTTTAATTGAAGGCTAGGATTGTCTACCAGTGCTGTTCCATCCCACTGTGTGTTCACGTTTCTCCATCTGGGAGTAGGCTACAGAGTGTGTGCTGGTCTTTGTGGCAAAAATCAGTCTGCTCCAGAGACAGTTCAGCAGTTCTTGTTTAACATAGTGTCCCAGTTTTGGACAAATTTAGGAAGAAACATCCAGAAAGGCTGTCTCCTCTAATAGAAGGCTGGTTTTAGCAGCCCCTCCCCCACAGGTTCCCACAGGTTCAAAAGGAATTCCCTTGGAGAATGTTAAATAAACAGGGTGTTTTTTTCACTATCAGATTGCTCACAGGCATGAAAAAAGGAGTGAATGATGTTAAATAATAAAACCTCTCACTGCTCTGAAGAGATGGGAGATTCAGAGTCCTTTCTGGAGGTGTGGCTTGGCAGCGGGGACCCCGGGTCGATGTTCTGGTGTTTCGGACTGGAGAAAAGCTGAACAGTTCCAGAAGAAGAAGCCACAGTCCCAGGAAAAAGCTTACTGCCTCAGCTAAAGAACAAGAAGCTAGCTAAAAAAAACAAGGAACAACTCCGTCTCTGTCTCTCTCTCTCTCTGGAGAAGATGAGCAGATGGCAGGGGATACCAGAGTATCCCTCAAGACACATAGTTGTGTTTTTCCTGGTCCCTCCACCGTGTCCGCTCACACCCAGCTCCGCGCTGTGTTGGACAGGTGGTAACTGTACCACAGGCAGGCTCCAAGATGGGACCTTCAGTACCCTGTCAGGTACTCACAGCTGCCTTTTTGCTCTTGACTTCTCCCCTTGGCAGGTGGCTGGGCGTGCACATGTGCAGGTAACAGCAGCTACAGGGAGCTCATATTCTCCTGCATGTCAGCAAGTATTTTGAAACTGAAACTTGTCTGCTTCACTTGCTTTAAATTCCTCTCGAGCTGTTTGGCTCCCAGTTGTTGTAATCTGGAGATGGGTTGCAGAAGAAAGCCATTCATCTGGAGTTTAGATTCTCTGAATATGGCTGTTTATGACAAAATTCCCATTGATTCCTGCCCGCAGGCATTGCCTTGAGTACCATTCAGTTGCTTTTCAGTTCAATGTCATTGGGATTTCTTAATATTCTTCTAGTTTGCTGTCAAACTCATTTTTCCAGGTTTTTAGTTCATGGGTAAGAATGACTGAGGCTTCAGGTCCAGCTGCAGGTGTCTGAGGCTCACATACTGAACTTGGGGACTTCCTTCCCCTCTGGCTTTGGCCAGAAACTGGTGGCTCAGCAATGGGAATCTGGGAGCAGGGGTATTGGAGAGTACAAGCATTGCAGACAGGTAACTTTCTCTCTTCTCTTTGATAGGTTTGGAAGAACATCATCCTCTCATCTTCAGAAACCTGGAGCTTTTATCAGTGAGCTACCTAAAAGAATCTAAGGGAATTGTAGCTGCAGCTTCCTTGCCATTACTTTTTTGGTGTTTGTACCTCTTTGTCAGTGGTTTTAGATCAAGAAACACAATGAGCACAGTAAGTATTTTGCTACTCAACACAAACCTGATTCTTGAAACGTTTTCCATTGTATTTCTGCAAGCTGTTTTAAGAGTTTGTAGCTAATACACAGGGACATAAGTATATTGAATCTTCATGTAAGTTCAGTAAAGATTTTTAATCACTCTAGGTGCTAGCAGTAGTACAGAAATGCTCAAAAGGTCAGCAAAACCCAATAAACTGTGAACTAGTTTCTGTTGGTGAGGCAGCTGGTAAGAGATCTGGATCTGGGCTGATGGTTTTTTCCTTGCTGGAATCGATGCAGGTAAGAATAACCCATGCCACCTTTTGATGACTATTACAGTCATTCCAGGACTGCTTTCTGTACCTTTGTGTGCTTTCACTGGTGTTGCAAAATTGAGGGCTATTTTGAGGGTTAATATTGCTTGCACAGAAAACGCTAAGTCTTTGTTCTCTCTTAGACTCAACGGAAGCGCCGTGGAGGAACAGTTAATTCTAGGCAAGCTCGAAAAAGAAGCAGGCTCATGGCTTCTACTGCTGAAATGGCTTCAGAAGCAGAGCCAATAGAACTTGAAGAAAGTGGTAAGCTTCTTTTGAAGTGATAAGAACAGAAAGTGCTTCTGCAGGGTTTGGGTCCAGCTGAACATGCATTTTTGCCAGTTTCTAGGCTGTTTACTGGAGAAGAAGGGAAACGTGATTTTAGGAAATGCCTAGTGGCACACACTATGGAATGACTAAATAACAAGCCTGCTGAAAACTGGTTTGGTTTGTTACTCAGCTACAATGCATTTGCCATAGATGAGTTGCACAGGAAAAGTCCTCAAGAGCTGCTCAAACATCTGCATGTCTGTCAGCTAAGATGGGAGTTAAAGCAGCTGCCACTACACAGTGGCAAACTAAATTTTGAAACTCCCAAGTTTGAAGAAGATAAGGAAAACTTTTTATCATTAATTGTGCCCAATCCCTCAAGGGAACATGCACAGCACAGTACTATTATATCCTATACGATTCATGTTATATTTCTGTGTGATGAACATTCTCCTGTCAGATGAATTGTCTGTTGCTGTTGTCATTCAGCAGAACTGTGTGAGGAGCTTAGCTGCTCTTTTGCATTTCGGCTTGCTGAAGACAGGGCTGGTGAAGCTCTCTGTGGATTGCTGAGGGCAAAGCTTGAGTGAAATGTTGTACTCATTCCTGAAGAGAAGATGGACAGGAGATAGTTGAATCTTAGGCTGTTACACACTGGCAGGCAATTTTCCTCCTCTGCAATCTTTGACCTTGATTCTAACTTTGTTTTTCAGCTGGTGAAGAAGTAGTAGACCTCACATGTGAATCTTCTGATCCTGTAGTCGTTGATCTAACTCACAATGATTCCATTGTGGTAAGTAGTGAATAGCACACTTGCCTAAATGTTGCAGTCAAATTAGTTTTCTCCTGTGTTGCCTGACTTTAAGGGTAAGTTTTAAGTTCAGATTTGGCTTGTCAGGGCCTGAAGGTCCTGTGTTACAGATAACAAAGAAGCTGCTCTGGAGGTGTACTTGCATTTAGTGATAGGGTAGTATAAAACAAGTTTTTGCTCCAGAACCTGGAGTTTATGTAGCTCAGTCATAAGTAATGTAACATAGAGATGTAGTTGATAGTTGAATTTTTTTCTAGACGTATCAAAGATAGAATCATAGAATTGTTCAGATTGGAAAGAACTTCTAAGATCATCAAGTCCAGCCATTCACCCAGCACCACCAAGTCCACAACCAAGTCATGTCCATAAGCACCACGTCTGTGTGTCCTGGAAATATCTCCAGGGGTGATTTCAAGCCAATGCCACTGTGCTGCCCTGGGCAGCCCCTTGCTGTGCTTGTCAACTCATGGTGAAGAATTTTTTCTAATACCCATATAGGCCAGTAATTTAAAGAAAAAGCCAAGGGAAAGAAGAATAAGTAAAATAAGTTCAGATTAATACTCCCAGAAGTATTTAAAACACCTTACTTTTTTTTCTTGCTCTTTTGAAAGCTAGAATAGTCTTTGATCTTTAATCCAGCTGACAGTATTGCTTATCCCCTCAGTTTTGGGATGCCGCTGCTGCTGTGCCAAGCAGAAACAAGCAACAGGAATAGCATAGGGAGTATTTCTTGCTGGGGTTATTCCTGAGCCTTTGCAAAGGAAAGGCCTCAAATTTAACAACAGAATTTGCACTTACCCTGCTCCAGTTCCACCCAGAGCGGGTTGGGGGTTGGGTTTCTTTTCTTCAGCAGCTGCTGTAAAATCGTGTTTATGGACATCAGTGCAGAACTGGCCTGTTTGAGGAGAGAGAGGGAAAGAATCACCTGAAGCCCTAAAGCATGGAACTGAAACAGGGGAGCAGGGAAGAGTGCATTCTGGTGGTTCATAAGTTGCTTCTGTTGCTACCCCATTGGAGCAGTGGGAGCAGAACCATCAGCATCCACATAGTTGTTTACAGTGAAGCATTTAATATACTATTTTTAATAGTCCTAATCAAAATAAGAGTAATAGCCTATCATTCTTAGCTTGTTTTGTTGGAACTGCTGTGCCTAGCTGGTCTTTGTATATAAGACCAGGGGTGCACAACGAAGTCTAATTGTATTTTCTTTTCTCTCCCATCACATGTGTATTGATGCAAGATTGTTGAAGGTGAGTTGACATTTTAAAATTGATAATGGAATTCTCCTAAATGTAATAATTTTTTTTTGTTTGCCTTTTGCAATTAATTTGAGCAGCATTTATTAAAACTGAAAAAAGCCAAGGACATTGCTAAAGCATCTGGCCAGTGCCTTAGAGAATGAATCCAGTCTCTGTTCGATAGTCAGTATCAAGAGCTTTTAGAAAGTATCTGAAATAAAATACATCAAAAGCTGCTCTAAATACTTTTTTTATTTTCTAAAGACAGAACTTCTTCTAGCCTTGAGTTGACAATAATTTTAATTAGCACTAGAATATTAGTTGTGAATGAAAAAAAGTCAGAAGTTTTGCTTAGCCTGTATTGCAGTAAAGGAACTAAAGAAAGTTATTTGTGCTCATAGTATGCACTAGTCTAACATGCCTCAAGTTTTGCAATGAGAAATAGTAACTTTTTTTCCTACTTCAGGTGTTAAAATAGTTACAGGTCTAAAGAAGTTCATCTTTTACATCTTTCAGACGTAGTTCTAATTACATTATTGGAGATGTACTAGTATGTAGTCATCAGCTTATCTAGAGTGTAATCTGTTCTGTGCTCTGAATGAAGCAAGAGTAAGTGAAAAATGCCTGCAATAAAAGTTGTAGCTGAACACTTAGGCAGGAAGTGGTTTTAATTTTGTGACTTTTTGTGTCATTTTTTTGTTTAGTAGCTTAATTATTTCTACATGGATACTGGAGTTGCAGAGATAAACTTGTGTTCAGTCCTCTGTCTTCCAGATCCCAGCAATTGTTACAGTTTCTCAACGTAGGATTGTAGCAGTTTCTGTTAGTAAGGATTGAGAGAATTGTCTTCCCATTATAGGGGAGATTAACTCACAGGTAGTATAATTACATGGAATGTGTGACACTGAGGATCTTTGAGATTAAGTTTTAGCTGTTTGTAGGGTGAAGAGATCAAATTATTTGTAGCAGAATATTCACAATGTCTGAACACGTTCAGCCTTAATATTTGGAAACTAGTTTAAGGTTGCTTTTAACCCAGCTGAATATGGTCTAGTCTTGCATTTCAAGGGTAGTTCCAGGGAGAGTGATAATAAAATAGCTAACTTAACAAAATGAAATTACAGAGAACCAGCGACAAAGGAGAAATCTGAGACTAAGAAGCCAGCGACAGGCAGACAGCTGTGTACTGAGTAGTGATGATGAAGATGAAACAAGAGATAACGATGTGTATGTGGCTGATAAAGCAGCTCGAGAGCTGGGACCGCTGGAAGAGGAAACTGCAAGTTCAAAGTACGTATACCTCATGAGCTACCAAAGATGGAGTTGTGCTGCTTTTGAGACAGTCAGGACTGAGTTGTGTTTGTCATCACCTGACTTCCTTTGAAGCTTCACTTTCTCAGTTTCATCTTTTAAAGAGTATGACATCCCACATTGCATGATAGTCAAATGATACCATTTTCACTTTAGGATGAAAAGCCAGCCCAAAACAGATCTGCAGCTTTGTATACAGCCTTAAAGATGAGTGTGGGGTATGGCAAGGAAGTGGGAAATAGTCGCAGGCTGGAGCTCATAATGTACTGCATTTCCTTTTCCTACAAAGCTCCAGTAGTTATGTTATATATAAAATACTTCTGTTGGTGTCCATGAGGTTTGGTATCACGAGACTGGCAGGCAGCAGACTGGCAAATTCCAGTAAAAACACTTATGCTTTCCCTGCTTTTTTTACATACTCTGCCAGTTGCTGCCTTTCTCAAAGCAGCCACTGTGCTTCCCAAGGTATACTTGCAAGGTGATCCTGGAGGTCATGCCCTTATGGTCAATTCTTGTTCTGTCCCATGGATGTCATGGAGCCCTGATATGTTTACATGTGGGATGGGAATCTTGCTGTTTGAGTCAGTAAAGACCCCATTCTGCAGAGAAAGAGTAAATCCTGCTGCAATGTGTTAGGCTGAGAAAATGAAATCTGGTGTCTGTGTGACTAGGCAAGTTGAAGTGATGCCCTAAGTTTTTAGCTTTTATATATTTCAGATTCTGTACTGCATTCTGTGTATTTCTGAGCTCTATATAGAATGCTAGTTAGCTTTCTTCCCATTTTGATCACACTAAACAATCCCTCTGGGCCTGAGAACCAAGGTCACACCATTTGCTCAGGCCCTGGAAAGTGTAAACAGAAATTAACTGGGGAGGGAAGCAAACTGGGGGAATGTGACTTCATTACCTGAAACTATAATTGGACATTTAACCTCTGATATGCAAATAGACCAGACTTATATCCAGCTGAGAATCTCGTGACTGTTGTCCATCTTGGATGTGGCCTCTGTGAGGCTTCATACTGCCCAAGGTGTATCCTTTGAAGGCCTTTTAATAAATACCCACTTTATTGTTTCAACTGTGTCTAGCCTCTCTTCTAGGTAGCCTCTCCAAGGCATCAGAAGGACATAAGAATTATAGAATAAACTTATTTTAAAGTGGGTTTTGGTTTTTTTTTTTTGTGGGGAGCAGGGGAAATACAGGGTTAAATTAAGCTGATGTGCTTTGAGCCTTTTGCATTACTGAAAGGCAGTGTAGGAGAGAACTTGAATATGTAGCTTTTGGGTGCCGGGTCATAAATATGCCACCAAAAAGTCCTATGTTATTCTAATCCATAATGTGCTTTGCCAATGGAGTTGTAAATGTTTAAATGTTGGTTGTTAAGTACTTCAAGAGAACAAATACCACTAATTGGATAATATAAAAAAGTAATAGTTAATTCCTTCAGCCTCCTCTGTTAATGATTTGCACTTTTCTGGTCTGTATAGGTAAGGCTGAAAGAACTCAGTGCTGCAGCATTTAACATTGACAAAAGGGTCCTTCCTGGTGCTGGGGGTTGCCAGAGCCATCTGTAGTGTTGGACTCTTCATCCTTCTGAGATTATCATCAGTTGGAATTTGTTACTGAAGTGTTGTAGCTGGTGCCTCAAGAATCTGAGGAGTAAAAAAAGAATTAGTGGAGTTAAATTCTGTAGGTGAAACTAGGGGTAGATGTAAGTAGTCCTTCTTGCTTGAATTGATTATAACAGGATAACAACCATCTCATGCTTTCTATGCCTGTTTGATTTATAAATTACAAACTGTGGTTCAGCATGGGCAGTGACATAAGAAAGCCAAATGTTTAGGTAAAGAGCTCTGAAGGTTTAAACTAGTTTGCAAAGAAAAGTGTCAGGAAGCTCTTGTTGTTTCTGCTAGCTGGTGTGATTCAGCCCTTGGGCTGGTTCCCTAGGAGCCAGGCTGTCTTTGCTAAGTGTGAGTGCAGTACTGCTGTCCTGGAGGCTGAAGGCAGCAGAGGCTCATCTGTAACCACAGCTCGCTAACAGACATGGCGTCAGTCCTTCTGCCTTGGAACTGGAAATTTGGGGTTGAGTATTTCCTCGTGTCAGTGTGTTCCTGACCTACATTTTATAAGGAGGAGTTCTTGGAGTGCCTATGTTACTGGGCTGTTGCTAAATTCGAGCAGGGGATTTTTGAACTTCTGACAGCCTCTTCCCTTTCTAGAATGACTCGTTTCCAAGGCACAGCTCTGTGCTTTTGTTACAGAGCTGTCATTGATGGCCTGCTAGAAATTAGTGCTGAACAGAGCAAGAGACTGCTGTGAGTTCTTGTGCTAGACCAGGGTGACTGAGTGCATCTTCCCCTTACAGAAAACATTTCCTTTAGGACAAAGAGACCCCATCTTGTTATTACATGCCACAAACTGAGGAGTTAAAGGTACACAGGAATCTTGAAAAGAAATGCATCATGGTGCACCCAGATGGTGACATGACATTTTGTATGTGGGTAACCCTTGATGTGCAGTGAAATTAATGCTGCATCTTCTTTCTTTTTCTGTTCTCTGTACCACAAGGCCATCTGGTACTGTTAGCTGTCCAATTTGCATGGATGTCTACTCAGAGGTAAGGACACACGTGCTGTCATCCTTTATATGCTGTGTGAGGGAGAAAGGGGCAGAGGGGGGAGTGTACTACTCACTTGGCTGGTGTGGGATGTTACAGAGATCTGGCTTGAAGCACAGAGCTTGCCTTGGAGCTCATAATTTGTCAGTCTAAGTCACTTCTTGGTGGTGGGGGTAGAGGGGGGAACCCTTGGCAGGATGGCACTGAAAGATGTTGAAGTTCCTTATTAGTCTAAGAGAAAAGGACAATTCCAGATATTCTAAGTCCTGTTTGTGTGATGGCAGTAGACCAGCAAAGTTGCATTCTTTACTTCTAATGCCTGTTGTGGTTTCTTTTCTTCCAGATTGTGCAAAGTGGACGACTGATTGTGTCAACAAAATGTGGCCATGTCTTCTGCAGTCAGTGCCTCCGTGATTCCCTTAGGAATGCCAACTCTTGCCCAACCTGCAGGAAGAAACTCACTCACAGACAGTATCATCCCATTTATATATGAGTACTTTTATTTCTCAGGACAGACTCAACTGGATTTTGGGGGAAATGTTATATTTTCAGTGCTCTGAAGATTTAAAGAGCAGCAGGTTGTGCACAAATCCAAATAAATCTGGTTTTTTTGAAGACCAACTTGAACGTATCTAGACAGCTTTTTTATGGTCCAAGTTGCTTCTTGTTATGTTCCTGGTTATCATGCTACATCGATGACTGTCTAAACCAGATCAGCAACCTAGACCAGGAAGGAAGCAGTTAATCCATTTCCTTCTACTTTTTTTAATGCTTAAATAAGGGAGTGTGAATATTTTGTTTTTTCTTACTCTGTTAATTATTCGTACCTTCACATACAGGTATGGAATAGTTTCCTTTCAGAAGACAGATTAGCAATTCACAATTTCATTACATCTTTCTTTCATCCTGTAAGAAGCTCATGACTCTTGCTTTCTTGCATATAATCTTTGCCTAGGTAGGGTGAATACTGTACTGAAGGGTGTTTTTTTCATAAATCAGTCTTAAATTGACAACAAGGGTTATGCAATAAAGTAACCTGCTGTTAACCAGCAGTCAAGTGTTTTGAGCAGCAGATGTGAACATGCAGGTGTTTTTATGAACTCCATGAGATCCCAAGTACATAGACACACTGCAGCATGTACAGTGTGAAAATAATTCCTTGATTGTTTCAGCTGCCAAGAATTCCTGTATTTTAATCCCAACACTGAATTTATTTTCTCGCGTGATGAGATGGTCTCTTGGGTTTGCTTGTGCTGTAACACACTCTCCTAATAGCTATCAATAATACAGTCTTCTCTAGGCTTCCTAGTGATGAAAGCAAAGAAGCAAAGTCATTTGTATGCTGAATACCAAACTGTCTACAGATCTTCTTACTGTATCAGCTGTTCCCAGTGTAATGCTTTAAGTTCAGTGTGTTTTCTTTGCTGTTCTCACTGGTTGTTACACTGACACCTGACTGTGTGTAGCCTGGTGAATAGGATTGAAAATTAAATAACTGTACTGCCATTTTTGAGTGGAGGCTTTAAAAAATATTTTGTACAATGTTCATAGTCAGTTAGAGAAAAGTTTAATCTCCCTTTGCCCTGAGGGTTGTCCAGTTTTTTTTTAAATGTAGTTTTAAAAAAGAAGTCAGATATATCTCCTAGGAAGGACAATTCCTCTAGTTGAGAAAGCAGGAATACACCAGTTTATGCACTCTTATCCAGTCCTTTTTCCCCAGGACTGAGTTCTAAATGTCTATTTTAAACTTACAGCTAAAATGTCTGAGCTGACCTGGAACCTGGGTGAGCTGATACAAAGATCGATGTAGACAAGATGATTAAAATCAGTGGTTTATGATCCACAGCTGTGGTAGGTGCATCTATGAGAACCTCCAGAATTAAACCAGGCCACTTCTCTGAAGCTGTTTGCTTATAGAAACCATTATAAGAACCTTCCTGTGCCCTGGTGCAGCACAAATGAAGGGTGTGTTTAGTTAGTGCTGGTATCACAAGTGTCTTTGCTGACCTGTCCTTATCTGTAGGAAACCTTTAATTAAAGAAATTAGCTGTCTCAAGCTGCCTTGCAACCCAAAGTTTTTTTGTTTTTTTTAATTAGGATGTTTCTGGATATAGTAATACAAATATAGTAATTTTGTTACATAAAGGCTGCCTGAAGAAATGCAGTTTCCTGGTTTGGAGTGGCTTTGGTTCAGTGCTGTTAGCAGGAATATGCAGTTTCTGTACTGTGGCAATAGGGTGACTCCTACAGAGTTACACACAGGTGGTTCCCGTGTGCTCCCATGGGTGAGATAAACTACAGGCAAGGACTATGGCTGGCTCAGGGTACTGCAGTGACTGCAGTTGTGTCCCAAAAAGCAGAGTTGATGCTTAAAGTATTAATTGTGTGAGGAGAAGCAGCCCAACGTTAAAACTGTAGAGACCCACAAGGATCACAGAAGCTACTTTGTCCCAGTAGCTTAACAAAGAATAAATAATGGTTGGTTTTCCTGGGGTGGCTGCTGTGTGAAAGGAGCAATCAGAAGAGGATTTAAGGGATTACTGCTGAGGATGAGGGTCAGTCAAGTCACTTAACCATGCATCTTTCACAGTCTACTAGCCATGGCCTAAATGATTTTGCACAACTTCCTCCATGTAAATACCACTTAAGAGTTAGTGTCTCAATAAATAGATCTAATCAAAATTTAGATATCATAAACTATAACAAAGAGTTTTTAGCTTTTGTGTACCCTGTGAAGTGCCACAAATTTTGTGCATCTCAAAAAGGATATTATGTCTCAGTACATGGGAAAAAAAATTGGAAATTCATTACATGCTTTTTTCTTCAAGGGGAAAAAAAAGTCTGATATATTTCAGTTCCAGCAATATTTCACATTGACAAGAACTCATAGAAAATGAAAAAAAATCTTTATATTAAGTAGATGTCTGTCTTGTTGTATATAGTTCAATTTTTCCTGTATTTAATTGTATTCAAGTCTGTCTGCCCATCTATGTTGAACTCTGCTGGTAGGCAGAGGGTTCTCTTAACAGGTGAAAATAAAATGATTGATCAATCACAAGTGCTTCTTCTTTTCATTGTGCTGGAGTCACTGATTTGGGGGGGAAATCATCCTGGAGGCCAAAGCCTTTCAGATGCTGGCACCAGCGTGGGTGGTGTGGGACCAAGGAGAAAGGCACCACCCGGGGCAGGAGGGATGTGGGGACGAGAGGGCGAAGTCCTGCTCGGGATGGGGACAGTGGGGCTGGGTGTGTGTGTGGGGAGCCTGGCAGGCAGTGCCAGAGAGAGCAGTGAAGAGGCTGGAGGGTGCTGGGCCACCTCCCTGGGGGTCCCTTTGCCGGCTGGACGTGAAGCAGCCGCTGCAGAGAGGGTGAGGAGAAGTGCTGAGGAGAGAACTGGGCACAGGGCAGGTTCGAAGTCACAATAAAGCTAACTTGATTTCTCCAAAGAAACTAAAGACAAGAGATGATGTTTCCTGAAGGTCTTGGCTTATCCCTCTTAGTTGCTTTTATTGTATTTTGTTGTTTTTTACTCTTTATATTGTACACATATGGAGTAGCTGCCCTTCCAAATGCTGATGAGTAATTTGCTATTTCATCACACTTTTGTTTTCATCCTAAAATAAGCTTATAACCTTTTTGCTTTCTGCTGTACTATCTTTGCCTTGTTACACCACATTCTGTAATAATGGATCTTTTTTTTTTTTTTACAAGTCAGGATTAAATTGACAACCTTGCAATAATGTAATAATGTAACCTGCTGTTCAACAGCTGTCAGGTGTTTTAGACAGAGGGCTGTGTGGACAGGAAGGCTGTTGTGGGGAGTCCTTACTGCTTCAGTTAACCCTTGATGTTTTAGACAGAGGGCTGTGTGGACAGGAAGGCTGTTGTTATGGGGAGTCCTTACTGCTTCAGTTAGCCCTTGGTCTGCTTCTGGTGGAATATTGGATCCACCAGATCTGCTCTCTGATTTGCAGCCAGATTTGGCACTTTGGGTGGATGAAGCATGCAGCAACTGCAGAAAGCTCTTCTCACTTGGGGTTTGATTCCATATTACAATTTTGGAAAGCAGAAGGGGTGGATATGAAACAAACCAGGTAGAAAACCAGGTCCAGGGCATACTAGCCCTGGTCTAAGGAGCTAGGTATGAACCATGGTCCAGTGGCTGGGCTGAACATGTAATCTGGGTAATGTTTGCAGTGCTGCAGAGTCTGAAGTGAAGGCTGAGATTGGAGGCTGTTCCTGTGGGCTGGAGAGGAGGCCATGGCTGTGGACTGGGACCAGTGCAAGAACATCAAGCACTAGAAATTGGAACTACAGAGTAAAGTGTACAGATGTGTTTGCAGCTTTTTGTGCGTGAGCAGACAGCTGGCAAAGGGGAATTGCCAAGGGTAAGGTAAAGTGTACAGATGTGTTTGCAGCTTTTTGTGCGTGAGCAGACAGCAAAGGGGAATTGCCAAGGGTAAGTGTTGGAGCATGGCAGGTGAAAGATTAGCAGGGCCATAGCTGCATTCTGGTTGCAGAGTTCAAACCTCCATTTGAATTAGGATGGTGACACAAGTCTGGGGCTATGCTGACAGGTGACATGATGCTATCTATGAAGTTTTGTTAACTGTAGAGATGTGTCCTTGCATTGTGTCTAATCTACACTTACTGGCAGTGAATGTTAATTTCATATGTTCTGTTAAAATCTATTTCCTATGTTCTGTAAGAATCTATTCTCTAGGTCAAGAGCATGCAGTTGAGCTCTTGGGCTTCTGAGGATGGTTTTACCTTCAAATATTTTGTCTTTTTTATGTCAATGTTGCTTGATAATGTCAAATCCAGCTTGGTTGTTTGTGTTTCATCTAAAGACCAAATTCATTGTGGTTTCTACAGTTGACTTAGGGCCTGCGAACAATGAGATTATTTAGAGCTGCTTCATATTCTTTCTGTAATCCTAAATCCTCCTACAGTTTTTCCTTGAGAGTTCTGGGAAGGTAAAAGGAACAGGAATATCTGGTCTGGGTCTTCCCTCCCTCTGCTGCCACCACCACATAACGAGGTTTCTATATCCAGCACACAAAAAATCAGGTTACTCAAGAACCGTTATTCCTTTTCACCCTTTTTCTCTCGATGCCATCGTGCCGTATGGTAGGCACCAAAATGTGTCTTGGTTTGAAAGACAGGCGTCTGCTCAGGAAGGCAGGAGCCTCCCTTGAATGGAAAATGTAAACCCCCTCCCTCTGAATTATTATAATTTTGAAATCAAGGGGCTCTCAGGCAAAGATTTGAGAATAGGAACAGCGGTTCTTCTCTAGTGTGTAAAATAATCAAACAAACACCAACAGCTCCGAGCAGAGCCGGGAGCGCGCTCCCGCCTCCGGCCGCAGGCGCTTCCCCTGCACTGCAGCTCCGGGCACGGCCGGCAGGGGCGCTGCTGCTCCCGGGGGGCAGGGCGCGTGCGGTGACTCCCCCGCGCCTGCAGGGGGCGCTGTGCCGCGGGCTCAGGCAATGGCGGTCCGGCCGAGAGGGGAAGGGGTGGAGGAGAGGCTTTGCTCCACAAACCCCGGGGCAGCCGATCGCGGTGCCCCAGCAGGACTCCGGAAAGCAGCAAGCTGGGCTGGCAGGACATCTCAGCAGGCGGGAGGTGCGGGACTACAGTGCAGTGAAAGCTCAGAGCAGTGCTGAAGAGACAGCGGGGGCAGGACAGCAGCGAGCCAGCTCCTCAGCAGCGCAGAGAGGCGAGCTCAGGGTCCCGAGCACCCGAGCAGGCGGGGACAGGTCCCTCTGTCAGTGAGGTGGGTGTTCATGGGGTCCCCGTTCAGTGGCACCCGAACAGGCGGGGACAGGTCCCTCTGTCAGTGAGGTGGGTGTTCATGGGCTCCCCGTTCCGTGGCACCCGAGCAGGCAGGGACAGGTCCCTCTGTCAGTGAGGTGGGTGTTCATGTTCCCCGTTCAGTGGCACCCGAGCAGGCAGGGACAGGTCCCTCTGTCAGTGAGGTGGGTGTTCATGGGGTCCCCGTTCCGTGGCTGCTCTCACGAGCAGAGCCTCACCCCACAGCAGAAGCAGCAGCTCCGGGCTGGGCTCGGGCAGCAGCAGCAGCGAATTCCCTTCCTGGGCAGCAGCTCCGACCTCCAAAGCCGAGAGAGAGCGGGAGCGAGCCTGCAGCTGCCCCAGCACCATCTTTTACCTGCGCAGTCCTCGTGGCATCTCTGCCCCTCGGAGAGAAACTCCCACGTAAGAGAAGTGCAGCCAGATGCCCTCCTCCCCTGAGCTTGGCCACGTCTTGTGTTTTTTTTTAAGTACCCAGTTGTTAGTGTTTCCTAGCAAGTTATGGGGAAAAAATCTATAAGTAAAAAAGAACAAAAGGAAAGAAACCTAACCCCAACACCAGAGGAGAGCATTGCCATCTCTGTCAAGGAGAGTTGCTGGTGCTGTGTCCAAGAGTCTGCCGTGTCCCTTCAGAGAGGGGTCCCACCCAGGTCAGGGGTGCAGGATGACTGCAGAGGTGATGTGATATGTACTGGTTTGTCAGGAATGGGATGGAGGTCTCAAAGACCTTTTCAAAAGTATTTTGATGGGTTGCCACATCTTTCACTCAGTAACGCCCTTGATTACACCAGCCATGTAAACCTGAAGGCCTTACTTCCCCTTCTAACTCTGCTACCCACAGACTGTAGATTCACACTTTGTATATTTTTATTTTCTGTAGTAGATGTTACCTTGAAGTTTTAGGTAAGCAGTTAAAAGCAGATACATTAGGAATGGAGAACTGCTTATTTGTAATCCTGTTTCCTCTCTCATATTTCATTAATAAGATATTAGCATTAGAAGTCTTACACAGAAAAAAAACCCAGGTTATGATATTGATGTAATGCAGAGGCAGTTAAAAGCAGATACATTAGGAATGGAGAACTGCTTATTTGTAATCCTGTTTGCTCTCTCATATTTAATGAAGAAGATATTAGCATTAGAAATCTTACACAGAAAAAAACAGGTTATGATATTGATTTAATGCAGGTGTAACAAAGGTCAAGGGATTAATGGTCACAGAGATGTGTCTATATGAGCATTTGCAGGTGTCAATTTTATACACATTCTAATTCTTTATGCAGGAACTTTTTTCACAGCAAGTACACCAAATGTATTCATACATAGTAAGGGATTCTTCTTGCTTCCTGGGGAAAGAGAAGGGCCTCTGCTTTCTCTAGCAGTAGTTTATCCCACTTAGTACCTTATGGGATGTAAACTTCTGTGTAGCTCTTTTTGCATATCTTGATTTGCAGCACCATCACAAGTGGGCAATTCATAATTAGTGTGATTAGAAGCACATATATTACAGTGGAAAGGAACACAAAAGTTAGTCATTAAAACTCTGCTGCAAGAAGGTGGTGTGCTATGGCTTCTTTCCTTTCTTCCTTTGCCAAAAATTCCTCCACAAATCTAATTTCAAGCCTTGCTCAGCAGAGGAATGGTATGAAACTGTGGCTATTTCCATGACCAGCATTACAACACCATTTTCCCAAATCATTTATTAGTTGCCACAAAGATTGAAGTGTATTTCTAACTAATTCAGAAATCAAAATTTTATACATGGATCATGCATATATTTGTGCCTTCCTTCTTGCTGGAGTGCAGACAAATGAATTTTAAAAATAGCCTGGGGTGAAGGTTTAAGTCATTCGTTTTACAAGGCTCTTTAAAAGCTTCTTTTCTAACCTGCCAAATTATAGGATGGCTATAATTTGTTTAATCTTTCAACATTTAAGAAAATGCCTGCTGCATAGTGCAGCATGAGCTCCCCTTAGCTGAGCAAATTGAGCGCGGGGCTGCAGGAGCAGCCAGGGCTCCGCTGGGAAGGAGCTGTCTGCTCAACACGAGGCCTCATGAATTGCAAAGAGCTAATTAGAAGAAATGCTCACAAAAGACTGATTTTCTGACACTTCTGCCTAAGAAATATTTGAAGTGCTTTGGGCATTCTGAGGGTTCTCTGTCTGTAGAGACAGTTTGTTAGGCTTGCCGTCAGTGTTCCTTTTATTTTTGTCTTCTCCCACCTCTCGTATCTGAAGGCAGAGAGCA